TGTGATGTAATGTGCCTGACCATACCACTGCACATCTAGGTCACAAAACAGGGTCATTTTCTCTCTTTCTTTTACCAGTAAACTGCAGGTTGGGATTAAGGGCAACATCCCCTCTGCTGTTCCTGAAGCAGCCTGACAGATACCAACTGTGATCATGAATTATACAGTCGCTCATACAGGAGGCATGTTGGAGGAGGATCTGTGAGGGACGTAGAGAGAATGGAAGAGCTGCTCTGGTGGGTGAGATGTCCCCTGGGATAGACCCTGCCTTTGATCGTTATCACCTTTATTACCATTGGCATATGATATGAGGAGGCGGCGTGGGAGAGGGTTGATTGATGAACTCGCAGGAAACTACATCATCTTTTTCAGCTGTGGATTCATAGGAAATCACTAATTTACCACTTTCCTTGTTTAGTTTTGACAAAGGAGGAGAATCTGATTAATTCCAAAGGGAAACATACTGCTGCACTGCTAGATAAGTTAGCTATTTGCATTTAGAGTGAATGAAAAGGCATGCACTAACTACATGTATGTGACAGTATGCCAACTCTGATCTCCTGCATGAAAGTCAGACATGTTACTTCGGCATTCATTTGAAAAATATTTATAAACATGCAAAACAGGGAAATAAAACTAGCTATAAAGTAATATTTTGGCATTAAAATATCTCAAAACGTACAAATTATATTGAAATGATGTTTAAATTTAGTTGAGTTTGGACCTACATTATCCAAAATGTTTCAACAATTGAAAAGTACTGAAGAGAAATTGAATCAATCCGAGACTCAGGGAAAAAGAGAATTGTATGAGCATTTTTCCACACTTGCAGTCCCACAGGATATCAGCCTATCAGCCCTATGTTAACATTGAAGTGCAATACAGTCCTCCTGAAATGCCTCTCTAACAACCTTGGCATCACTGGCACAGCTCTGTCATGGTTTCAGTCCTATCTATCAACCAGGTCTCAGTTTGTTAGCATCAGCGGCTCATCCTCCCCCTCGGCCCCAGTCAACCATGGTGTCCCCCAAGGCTCCGTGCTTGGTCCCCTACTTTTCACCATTTACATGCTCCCCCTTGGCCAGATCATACGTCAATTCGGTCTCAATTTCCACTGCTACGCTGACGACACTCAGCTCTATCTCAGCACCTCACCATCCGCCCAGCTCCCTCCACAGTCTTTGGTCAACTGTCTCCACGCCATAAAAACCTGGATGACAGCAAATCTACTCAAACTCAACAGTAAGAAGACTGAGCTCATGGTTGTGGCCCCCAAAGCACTGCTCCGGAAGGTTGGGGATCTCCTCCTCCACATTTACGGCTGTTCCATCTCCCCGTCTCCCGAAGTCCGTAACCTGGGTGTCATCCTTGACTCCACTCTCTCATTTCAGTCACACATCAAATCCGTCACTAAGTCTGCCTTCTATCACCTCAGGAACATCTCCCATCTACGACCACGATTCCGTGGCCGAGACCCTCATTCATGCATTCGTCTCCTCCCGGTTGGATTACTGCAACGGAGTCCTGTTCGGGGTTCCCAGTAAAGCCCTGGACAGGCTCCAGTATGTGCAGAACTCGGCTGCCAGGGTGCTCACTCACACCAAGCCCTGGCAGCACATCACCCCCACCCTGATCCACCTACACTGGCTCCCAGTCAAGCACCGTATCACCTATAAACTCCTTCTTCTGACTTACAAATCCCTCCATGCCCTCGCCCCCCAATACCTGTCTGAACTTCTCCGCTACCACACTCCATCCCGGAAGCTAAGATCATCTGGACAGGATCTCTTCTCCACCCCCCGCACCAGGTTGCGGACTTTTGGTGACAGAGCCTTCAGTGTGGCATCCCCCACCCTCTGGAACTCTCTCCTCCCCGAAATCCGCAGCGCCCCAACCCTGGACATTTTCAAAAAAGCCCTCAAAACGCACCTTTTTACCAAGGCTTTCGCCACTGTATAGTTAGTTTAATAGGTTTATTTTTCCGCTACTTCCCCCCCCCCCCCCCACCCCCTTAACCTGTCTGCCTTTTTTCCCCTACTCCCCCCCCCCCTACCCGACTTGTAAAGCGACCTTGGGTTTCCTGAAAGGCGCTATAAAAATATTATTTATTATTATTATTATTATATAACCATGAAGGGTCACAGTGGGTTCACAGCACACCCTCCTACTCTGCAGGAGATCAAACATAAAACACAGAAGATCACACGACTACCACTACTGTGTTAGGCATTACATAATTCCATATGCACAGAAGAAGGAAAAAGCAAAAAAGGTAGTTTTGTTAACATGGAGAAACACAGACTTTAGATACTTTTTGTAAAGGGATTTAAGCTTGTGTTTTTTTTATTTACAAAAGATGAATTTGCATTAAATTCAAAGCTACCAAATAAAGTGTATGGATTGAGCTGTTTGTGATATTTTTACATTAAGTTGAGTTTTCAATTGTAAAAAATAAGGTAAAAATCAATACGTACATTAGAAAGTAGTTTAACTTACTGTCATTCACGGTGTTGAACTGACCTCAGCCAAGAAAGTCAGCTTGTTAGGCAGCCACTTATATCAATACTGGTTGAGGCTCTAAAAATGGAGCAGATCAATACCAGCCAATGATTATCTCTGCACTAATTGACACACAAGAGGCTTCTCAATACTCAAATTTCCCCTCCTCGACTCCCCTCCTCGGTTCCCCTCCTCGAGAATTAAGAGGCTTCTCAATACTCAAATTTCCCCTCCTCGACTCCCCTCCTCGGTTCCCCTCCTCGAGACTTAGACCCGCCCACAGGAGATGCGAGCGGAGGACCGAGGAGGGGAAGCAGCAGACGTTTAAAGAAATGAGAACTCCTCTCCTCTGAGCGGTCATATTAAAGCGACGTCCGTTCATTATTACGTGGCAACAGCTGCATCAGCTGTCGAGTGTTTTGTCATAGCGCTGTATTTTATCATCTCTGTTAAATCAGCTGAACATTGTTCCCCCACATATTTACTTTGAATTCATTAAGAGTGCGGTATACCGTATAATGAGACAATAACAGGCACAGATGTGGACACACACACACAAATATATTTATATAAATATATACAATTTAAAGTATGAGAGCTCAGAACTCTCATAATAACGTAACACAATCAGAGACTGGATATATCCCCCCCTCTCTTTGGTCGCTGAAATGGGGAATTGAAATTACGGGCCAAAAGTTGTATTTACAAGTATTAACTTGTAATAATAATAAGCCACTTACAATTTTCCGTGAGATCAGGGAGCAGATATAAGATGGAAGTTTCCCTAACATACAAAGCCATGTTAGGGAAACTTCCATCTTATATCTGCTCCCTGATCTCACGGAGAATTGTAAGTGGCTACTGCCTGAGATCGCATGCTGTGGTTTTATTAAATGTGCCAACTGCTAGGACTGTCTTAGGGAAGACAGCTTTTAGATGCGCAGCTCCTCTGTCTTGGAATAGTCTGTAAATTAAATGGAAACTGAACAATCTGGTGCCACTAAATGTTTTTAAAGCTCGGTTGGATGCTACTCAATCGGAAGCTATTGGTACCTGTTTATGTGGATAATTATGTAAATGATGCTGGATGATGTCCTTTTGTTATTCTATTTATGTTTTTATGTTTCATGTGGAACTACTTGAGCAGGTCTCCCTTGAAAAAGAGATCAATGATCTCAATGGGATTCATCTGTATAAATAAAGATTTGAAATTAAATTAAAAGTAAGCAGAGGACACCAAACCAACTGAGACCCGTCTGTCCGCCGCATCTACGCACTGTACAACACACACGTACTGTACCACACACACACACATACACACTGCCTACAACACACACTTACAGCTCCTAAAGCATAATCAGGCTACAGCCGTTGTGTATTTTATTATGTGACGCACTAAATGGTCTTAGAAAAATATCGACTCTTTGTACTACAGCAAATAAAGAGAGTAATGTAGGCCTGTTATACTGAGTGATATTGTACACTGCTCTGCTTTCTGCACGGACCTCACAGCTGTTCTCACTGTAAACATCGCAACGCGATGAAAGCAGTTTCTAAAATAATATCCAGAGGATGCATGCAGAGCTGTCATTGGCTGAGATAAGTCCGGCCGTGCGTCACGCCTCCACCGTTCCCGGAAATGCATCCGCGGAGGAGCCGTGGAGGAACCATCAGTGTATCCTCGGTTATAGCTTCTCCAGAGAGCCTCGATGCTCGGTCCTCGGTGTGCATTTAGAGAAATGAGACGTCCTTCAAAATGGCGCGCTGAAATTCATTTCCGGGTCACTACCGGAGGACCGAGGAGTCGAGGAGGGGAAATTTGAGTATTGAGAAGCCTCTACAGTCAGTCAGGGTGATAGCACATTCTCTGTGTCATTAAGGTCACCTGATGGTCGGAAAGATCAGAAGGTCATCTTCTAAGTTCGATCCTATAATAACAATTAGATATAGACTACATGTAATATGCCACCTTTATATAAAATAAGATGTTTGCAGCAGTTCATGGCTGAAGTATGATGACTGGCATAGCTAGCGAAGCCAAATAAAGACAGAGTGCAGGGAGAGTTTCTATGAGCCCTGCCGCTCCTCAGTGACACGTAAGCATTGGGAATAAGACGAATAAAAACTCTCATTTTTTTACTGAGACTTACCAGTTTGGCCTCAGAGCTCCAGTCAATTAATTAAGCGCTAACAAGTCCCATCAGACGGCGATGATTGATTTTTAAAAGGCTTGTTATTAATTTAGCAAATTACAAGAATCTCTGTGACCTTAATTGTTTTGCTTATAAGCTAAAGTAAGGATACTTTAAAAAGTGAAAAGAATAATATTGGATTTAGGCATTTCGCAGCCAAGTCTGACCTCAGACCTCCCTGAAGACCAATGTTAAAAAATACTTTGCTTGTTAGCTGAAAGGGACAAGCAACCTGAAGTAAAAAAGTATTGCTCTCATGTTAGTCATAAACAAGACACTGTTAATTAAAATAATATTTTGCATTGTTTTTTATTTTTTATGGAGAAATGGCACACATTTATAAAGGCTAAAATTACAGCAGAAACAAATGAAAGCAAGTTATTAAGGGTAACAATGACCCAATGAACTGTAAGTTTAAGTGTTCATAGCAGATCAATAATAATTTTTCCAGAACTTTTTTGACAATATATGGACCTCAAATGACATTGACGGTTATCTTATTTTGTGTCATAAAATCTTTTATTTAGAGCAATCTGAATCTAAAAAGCAATGCCAAATAACAATTTGATTGTACTAACTGCCATGAAAACTATGTATTTTAAAGTGCTAACTACCAACTTCGATAGCATTTCACCCTCTTCCTCCTTGCATATATATATTTGAATTATCCCCAAATGAAAAGATATCTTCAACATTTTGATTTGATATTTTAAAAAGTGTATTTTCTGTCTGCCTGTTGAGATCAGTGTCAGACAGACGTTATACACTCAGTGGTGCTGGTCAGACACACACCACAGTCACACCTCAGGGCCACGGGGTAGGTGTAGGTGGGGTCCACGGTGGGCTGGCAGTTTGGCAGCTTCACAGACACCAGGCGAGTCTCGTTGTAGGTACAGACACGCTGGTGGGACTCGATGAAGGGAGGGTCCAGGACGGGCTTCTGGAAATAGGAAAACAGAATTTAGGAACCTAAAATTGTGATGAAGTTCTTGATGATTGGCTATAGCCCATGACACATTTCAGGCAAATGTTTTTAGTTTTTGGTTGGCAGGGAAACGGGGGTTCAGGGGGAGTGGCTGTACCCGTAGAATAGAAAAAGGGGAAGTGACGTCTGACTCAGAGGTTACGCTGTAGCGTAGGTCTTATCCCTGAACGAATAAATTAAACTTTTTAGACTCACAGAAACAGAGGGATAGCCCGGTGACATAGCTACTGAATTTTACAAAGGAAAAATAATAAATCAATTCACTTTCAACATAAAATGTCTGTATTTTTTTTAACTCCAAATAATAAATCAGTACATCAAACAAACTCATGTCACAGACCATTTACCAGATAAACGTAACTCCAATACATACACAAACAAATAAGCCAAGTTAACTCACAAAACATCAATAAATCCTGGGGATTGACTGTGAGTGAGTGTGGGGGAGGGGAGAAGTCTTTTTTGTCCTTTGTCACTCAGTTTAGGAGTGTATTTCAGGGGATAAGGATGTGTGAAAGCAAAGTTGTAAAGTTCAGCTTTTCCAGTCCTCTGTGTGTGTGTGTGTGTGTGTGTGTGTGTGTGTGTGTGTGTGTGTGTGTGTGTGTGTGTGTGTGTGTGTGTGTGTGTGTGTGTGGTGCTAGAGGAGGAGAAATGATATTGGTGTAGTGAGAACCACTTATCTGAGGGTGACAGGCCAGAATAGCTCAATGGATTGCAGGGTTAACTTGGAAGGGGAAAGTTGAATGTTTCCCCAACAGCTCCTGGGTTCAGTGGCAAAAACTCCCAAAAAATAGCCTGATTCAGCTGATGAAGTCCTCAAGAATCCACTTTTCTCCTTGTTCGATTCCGACTTCCTTTTGCTTCTTTCTCCCTCTTTCGAATGACATGCTGTCCTCCTTTTAACAGCACACAGGTGCCAATCATTCTCTTGATTGTTTCCTCCAGTTTCTCTCAGGGGTGCTTGATTAGCCACTCCCTTTTTTCTCAGGGAATCTGGAGGAGTGGGTTTACTTTCTCCCTGTCCTGCTACAACGCAGCTGTGGAGTAGAACGTGTTGCCCACATTCTGTTACTGAGTTTAGGCTAGTTAGCTAGCAGGTTTATTGTTTTGGGTGCAGTCACTTTTGCCTCCACTTGCTGTTCAAATACATGTTGAAATAAAAAGTAAATCTGTTTACAGTTCTGTTTTATATGGGTGTAAGAAGAAGAAGAAGAAGAAGAAGAAGAAGAAGAAGAAGAAGAGAGAAGAAGAAAAGAAGAAGAATAAGAGAAGAAGAAGAGAAGAAGAAGGAAGAAGAAGAAGAAGAAGAAGAGAAGAGAAGAAAAAAGAAGAGAAAGAAGAAAAGGAAGAAGAAGAAGAAAAGAAGAGAAAGAAGAAAGAAGAAGAAGAAGAAGAAGAAGAAGAAGAAGAAGAAGAAAGAAGAAGAAAGAAGAAGAAAGAAGAAGAAGAAGAAGAAGAAGAAGAAGAAGAAGAAGAAGAAGAAGAAGAAGAAGAAGAATTGGGAGGGATGAAACCCTCTTTAATGGGCACACATGCAGAGCACACAGTGAAATGTGTTCTCTGCTTTTAACCCATCCAAGGCAAGGCAAGGCAAGGCAAGGCAAGGCAAGTTTATTTATATAGCACTTTTCAACACAAGGCAATTCAAAGTGCTTTACAAAAAATGAAAGAGATTAAGAAAATGGCAGTCAGAAAAAATACATGGATACAAGTTACAGTGCTGTCAATTAAACATTAAAAGAAAAAAGTACATGGATAAAAGTTACAGTGCAGTCTAAGATATGAATAGTTCAATTAAAAGCAGCGACAAAAAGAAAAGTCTTCAGCCTGGATTTAAAAGTAGTCAGAGTTGCAGCGGACCTGCAGGTTTCTGGGAGTTTGTTCCAGATATTTGGAGCATAATAACTGAACGCTGCTTTACCGTGTTTAGTTCTGACTCTGGGGACAGAAAGCTGACCAGTCCCTGAAGACCTGAGAGATCTGGATGGTTCATAATTTAGCAGGAGGTCAGAAATGTATTTTGGGCCTAAACCATTCAGTGCTTTATAAACCAGCAGCAGTATTTTGAAATCTATTCTGTGACACACAGGAAGCCAGTGTAAAGACTTCAGAACAGGAGTGATGTGATCCACTTTCTTAGTGTTAGTGAGGACTCGAGCAGCAGCGTTCTGAATTAGCTGCAGCTTCCTAATAGATTTTTTAGTGAGACCTGTGAAGACACCATTGCAGTAGTCCAGTCTACTGAAGATAAAAGCATGGACAAGTTTTTCCAAATCCTGCTGTGACATTAGTCTTTTAATCCTAGATATATTCTTTAGGTGATAGTAGGCTGATTTAGTAACAGTTTTAATGTGACTGTTGAAACTCAGGTCAGAGTCCATGACTACACCTAGATTTCTGGCTTTATCTGTTGTTTTGAACATTGCACACTGAAGCTCAGCGCTAACTTTTATACGTTCTGCCTTGGCTCCAAAAACCATTACCTCAGTTTTATCTTTGTTTAATTGGAGAAAGTTCTGACACATCCAGTCATTGATTTGTTCAATGCACTTACTCAGTGTTTGAATTGGAGCATAGTCTCCTGGTGAAATTGTTACGTAAATTTGTGTGTCATCTGCATAGCTATGGTAACTTATTTTGTTGTTCTTCATTATCTGAGCCAGTGGTAGCATGTAGATGTTAAAGAGAAGAGGCCCCAAGATGGAGCCTTGAGGAACCCCACATGTCATATTTGTCAACTCAGATGTGTATTTACCTATAGAAACAAAGTTGTTTCTGTCCTTTAAGTAGGATTCAAACCAATTCAGAACTGTTTCCGAAAGTCCCACCCAGTTTTCCAGTCGGTCTAGTAATATGCTGTGGTCAACAGTGTCAAACGCAGCACTGAGATCTAATAATACTAACACTGAAGTTCTGCCACTGTCTGTGTTTAAGTGGATGTCATTAAAGACCTTTACAAGAGCAGTCTCAGTGCTGTGGTTTGGACGAAAGCCTGACTGGAACACATCAAAACAGTCATTTAAATGCAAGAAATTACTCAACTGTTGAAAAACAACTTTTTCAATGATTTTACCTAGAAATGGGAGGTTTGATATGGGCCTGTAATTGTTCATTACTGAAGCATCTAGATTATTCTTTTTTAAGAGCGGTTTAATGACTGCAGTTTTCAGGGCCTGTGGAAAAATACCTGAGTGAAGAGATTTGTTTACTATATGAAGTAGATCTGAGGCCATGCAAGGCAAAACATCTTTGAAAAATCCTGTTGGAATAATATCAAGGCAGCAGGAGGAGGATTTCAGAAGTTGAATAATGTCCTCTAGGTTTTTATCATTAATCTGATGGAATTGTGTCATGATGTCTGAATTGATGTTAAGTGGAGATAGGGACAACACATTTACTGTTCCTGATGCAGAGGCACTGACTGCTTGTCTGATTTTCTGAATTTTGTCAGTGAAAAAGGAGGCAAAATCATTGCACGCCCTGGTGGATAGAAATTCAGAGGCTACTGACACTGGGGGGTTAGTTAGTCTGTCGACGGTAGCAAACAGGGCACGTGCGTTGTTTTTGTTTTTGGTAATGATGTCAGAGAAGAACGATTGTCGTGCGTTTTTCAATTCCAAATTATAGAGGCCAAGTCTCTCTTTATAGATTTCAAAGTGAACCTGGAGATTTGTTTTTCGCCACCTGCGTTCAGCTTTTCGACATTCTCTTTTTTCTGTTTTCACGGTCATGGCCTTTCTCCATGGAGATATTTTCTTGCCAGACACTTCCTTTACCTTAGTTGGAGCAATGGCATCTATAACATTTTTAATTTTTGAATTAAAATGATCTACTAGCTCATTTACTGAGATGTTGGCAGGGGCAAGTGTGGAAGAGAAATTCTGAGTAAACATTTCCCTAGTGTTTTCAGTTAAATATCGCTTTGTGGTTACCTCTTTTTGAACATTTTTGTGAACAGAAATAGAGCTCTCAAAGAAAACACAGGAATGGTCAGAGAGTGCAACATCAGTCACCACAACCTTAGAGATATTCAGACCCTTTGAGATAATTAAGTCCAGAGTGTGCCCCTTATTGTGCGTGGGCTCCGTCACATGCTGAGTCAGTCCATAGCTATCAAGAACACAAAACAGTTCTTTAGCCCCTCTGTCCTGGGGGTTGTCAACATGGATGTTAAAATCACCAACAATGACTAGACGGTCAAAGTCAATACACACTATAGACAGCAGTTCAGTAAAGTCATCAAAAAAGCTTGCACAGTATTTGGGTGGTCTATAGATATTTAGGAACAGAGCTCGAGAGGAGCATTTCAGCTGAAGGGCCACATATTCAAAAGAATCAAAGTTTCCATAAGATGTCTTCCTGCATTGAATGGAATCATTGAACAGAATAGCAACTCCACCCCCTTTCTTATGCATTCTTTCCTGACTCATAAAACTGAAGTTGGGAGGGGTTGATTCGATAAGAACAGCTGCACTGTTATTTTGTTCAATCCAAGTTTCTGTTAAAAACATAAAATCGAGATTGTGCTCAGTGATAAAATCATTGATTAAAAATGTTTTTCCTGCTAAAGACCTGACATTTAATAAAGCTAGTTTAAGTTTGTTAAACACACTATCAGTCATGTTTTTTGTAACAAGCTGTGGCTGACATGCAATCACTGCTAAATTAGATACACTCACACAAACGTTTGAGCGCTTCCTGTTTCTATGATTCACCGCTCTTAATCTATTACCTATCAACACAGATATCGGCAAAGCTACTGGCAGGCAGGGCCCCGACATGTCCTTGAAAGAGTTGAGAGTGCCATACGCCCTTGAGCCTGGACCCATCACATATCAGTAAGAGTTTGTTGTGTTTTGTACACACACATCCTTATCAGGCTTCGGAGACTGCAGAAGCCCCCTCGAAGGGAGGGGAGGTGGTCGACGTAGGCACGGTGATGGAGACGGGCTAGATGGTGCGGGGGTAGAGGACATGCTGCCAGGGGGGGGAGGTGGTTGACGTAGGCGCGGTGATGAGGACGGGGGAGATGGTGCGCGTCTCCGCGGTGATTTTGGTGGGCGTCGTTGAGGAGCGGGGGTAAAGGACATGGTGCCAGCCCTGCGTATCGCCTTCGTTTGGTCTTTGAACTCCAGGAAGGAATCGGTGCCAACCCTCTGTATCTCCTTTGTGTGTTCATCGATCTCCAGGAGGGTGGGCGAGGGTGAAAGGGTGAACGGAGTATCCTCAAAGGCGTTGACAGGGGGGGGGGGCAGTGGAGACTCCTCCATGTGTCTCATATGTCTCCCATAATCAGAACATTCCTCATGCGGGTGCAGTGATAATTCTTCAGGGTTTTCTGCGTGATGTGTTGTGTCTTTCTCGTGTTTTGATTCCTCCTGCCGCTTGTCCTTGGCAGAGGGAACAGATTGATGACGCAGGCAGTTGAATATGTTAGAGATAAACAATTTCACTCCTGACTTGTTCAGGCAAACTCCATTTGCCTTGAAAAGATGTCTGCGATCCCAGAAAAAGTTAAAATTGTCAATAAAATGAACAGAATGGTCAGTACAGACAGTTGAAAGCCACGTGTTCAGTGCAAACAATCTGCTGAATCTCTCCACTCCTCTTCTGACTGGCGGTAGAGGGCCACTGATGAACACCTCTGCATTTAGAGAGCTGGCAGTTTCCAACAAACATTTAAAGTCTTCTTTCAGCACTTCTGACTGTTGTTTCACAACATCATTTGTTCCAATGTGCAGTACCACATTCTTCACAGTCGGATGTTCAGCCCCAATATGCAGGATCTTCTCAGCCAAGTCAGAGACCACATCCTTGGGAAAACAGAGTACTTTGGTGTTGTTCTTATTACACAGACCTTTTACATCTCTTACAGCAGAGTCACCCACAATCAGAGTTTCAGGCCCAGTCGTTAGCTTTCCCTCTAGCCTTTTACTTTTAGAGTAGCTATTGGTCCTTACCCTGCTGCGTGAAGAGGACAGGTTATCCAGGTCATCAGATCTCCGGTTCTCGGTCAGCGGAGCGTATCTGTTCTGGATTGGCACACTTGGTGGTTTAGGAGGATTGTTTGTAATTCTCCCTTTAGCAGCTGTCCACGGCTGTTTCCTAGTATGAATAGGGGTTGAAGAGGCGCTCTTCCTGGGTGATAACAATGCAGGCCAGCCGGTCGCATCACAGATTTCGGAGCTCTGGGCTCTGCCTGTTATCCGTCCTCCCAAATCCCATGGAAGTGATTTACTCTTAGGCTTTGCACCCAGAGAGTTCCAGGGAGGACTACCACTTGTAGATTTATTACCCGGTACACAGCCCTCCTGTTCCTTGGAATCTTTGTAGCTGCTAACTAGCTGTGAGTTAGCATACCCTTCTCCATTACTTAGCAACACTGGTAAAGTTGTGTCATTCCCACGACATAGTCCATTCACTTCCACGTTAACTTCCAACCGTTGCATTTTCATTTCCAACACAGCCATCTTCTGTATAAGTTTCTGGAAGTCATCTGTAGAGAACGGAGGCATTTTGCTACCAACTAGCTTAAGCTAAATAGCAGTAGCCTACCAGGCTTTAGCTGTTGCTAGGCCACGCTATTGTAAGACTGACGTCGTCGTAAAAATGTTGAAATATGGCTGAAACCCTCCGTCTATTTACGAAGATGAACTGTCCCAGTGATAAGTTAATGTCCAGGAGCCGCTGCTCGAAGTTTTCAGAGAATAAGAATAGGAAAATCAGCATAAAAAGTAAGCAGAGGCAAGAGCAAGCAGAAAAGCGTCTGCACTGTAAGAAAGATAAGCAAGCATCCAAGTACCAGGAGTCTAGTACTAGGAGCAGTGGGCAGCTATTGTACAGCGCCCGGGGAGCAATGGGAGTGAGGGGGGAAGGGGGATGTCCGGTGCCTTGCTCAAGGGCACCACGGCAGGGCAGGAGGTGAACTGGGACCTCTCCAAGTAGAAGTCCACACTCAAAATGTAGGTCTGGTCGGGGACTTGAACCGGCGACCCTACGGCTCACAGTCCAAGCCCCTACTGACTGCCATAGATTTAGTCCCTAATTTTGCTCTCAAAGTGCACCAGATTGATGCATTTAACTTCAACATTTAAAAAAATCTCTTCCCTGGGGAGCATGCCCCCGGACCCCCCTAGAGGAGGTGATCGAGGTCCACCACCTGCCCACACCCCCTGTTAAATTGTCTCACCCACATTGAGGATGATTTTCATTGGCCCATGTTTTATTCCATGCGTCAAGTCAGGCAAATTGGGTCCAAATGTTATTGCATCAATGATCTGTTAACATTAAAATCACTAAATATATGCTGTAACTATTTTGCTTAGGCAACTCAAGGGCTCAGGTAATGTGATTACTATATGAATAATGGTCCAAAATAACATTAAATGCATAGGGTTTTTTGTTAAGTAACATACTTTCGTCGCCGGCCGGCCAATACATGCCGCGCATTAAGTGGGCCTGTCTGTCAATGAATCCCCGGCACACTTTTTCCCCCCAGTCCGCCCCTGCCTAATACATTTGTTAGTTCAGGTTAGAAGACGTCAAGTCTTTATTTATACACCCTAATTTGCTTCTATAGGGGCCAGCTAACATCTGTACAGCATTCAACACCCTCTGTCCTTTACCACCAACAAACAAACAATTATTCTTGACTAAGTCTGAGTCATTACGTTCCTGAATTTGCATGCTTGCAGAGTACTTAGCTAACAATACAAATTTATGAGGATTCATGGGATGTAGTGAAACCTTAAAAATGGAACCTGTACTGTTTTGAAAGTTGCTCAAGTTTATTGTGTTGCTGTTGTGTATCTTAAGACCCAACAAGCACATTGAATATGTGGTTTTGCATTCTTCTTATTCTCCTTTTTATTCACCCCCTGCATTGCTTGTATGTATCATATCACTGCCAAACTCATGGCATTCATGTTCATTCTTATGCAAAATGTAAGTGTATAAAATAATTGTAGGGCCCCATTCGTCCAAACAACGTGTTCAGAAACATCACCAGGTTCCTTTAATGAGTATTTTCTAACTACAAACCAACCTTTAGTTTCTCAACAGTAGCTTGGCATGGAAACACCTTATCCCCCTTATTAGACTTTTCATTTTTAATAAAGTATTTTGCTAAGCTTCTCATTATTTGCACATCACTAATTTGGCAGTGAACCTCCGTTTTGCTATAAGCTGTGTTTGTAAAGAGATTTGTGACACATCTGCAAAGCCTCTATTAATTGCTTGTGGGTTTGGTATTCCAGGAATTTAATATTTTTCTGCGGAAAGTTTGCCATTATCTTGATGCGCAGAAGATGATTTTGTGAATCCTGAAGCTGGGTGTAATAAGAGACTGTTCTGCAACTCCTGACCACCTATTAGTCCTACAGACATGTCTTTAAACTGAGACATTGACTCCCTGCAGTGTGTGCTGACCACTCTGAGCGGCAGAGCAGATTTAAAAAAAGCTTTTCCTCCCTAAGGGGATCTAAAGAGAATCACAAAATGACTTTTGGAGTCTCCTAATACCTCCTGCCACTCAATACAATATCTGAGATAAAATTTGAGATTTCACAGCATTTTTTTGTAATCATTATGCGTTGGCTTATAAAAATCCAATTGTGTCATTTATGCACTTGAGGCATTGTTAAGGAAACCGCTGCTGTCACTTCAATCTCCGGATTGCACACTGCTTTCCATCCTGGCAGAACGCTAACTCGATTTCAGCACACTTTCCTCCTGCATTCTTAAGCAAGATGCATACTTCACACAGCCTCCCATTACTAGGAGACAACAATAAGATCAGTTACAGTTATTATAAAAATAGAATGTATTGTTTTTCGGAATCAAATGCATATAGATCTCTCTATCTGTTCCTCTATCTATTTATCTATCTATCTGTGTTAATTCACCATCTCCACCCTCCCTGCGGAGGATGGAGATGAACAAGTTTCTCCATGGGGATCTCACATCCCTCTGTATTTGCCTCTCTGTCTGATGTCTGTCTGAGTGGCAGAATCTTCATTCAATCCATCATCATCTTCTTCTTTTTTTCTTCAAATGTAATCCATGCAAACAGCACAAACACACTAATGTCTGTCCTATAAAGTTGTCAGTTGTGTGTGTGTGTGTGTGTGTGTGTGTGTGTGTGTGTGTGTGCGTGCGTGCGTGCGTGTGTGTGTGTGTGTGTGTGTGTGTGTGTGTGTGTGTGTGTGTGTGTGTGTAGCACAGCAGCTACCTCCCTGCCACTCACCTCCCAGGTCTCACAGCGCCCCCAGCAGGCGTCGGTGGTGATGTGCAGCCCCCCGCAGCCGGGCTTTTTGGCCTGGAAGGTGAATTCCCGGACGGCACATCCAATGAAGTGCCGCAGGTTGACGGCTGACGCCCGGTGCAGGGAGTGTGGCTGCAGGGAGACGCAGAGCAGGAACCAGCACAGCACCAGGCCAGGCCTCCTCAGGGTGAGAGAAGAGATGCAGCAAAACATGAAGACCTTTTACAGTGTTTTCATATGTGAAGGCAGAAATAAATTGAAGGAGGATTCTGTAACCCTCAGGCTTAAAGAATGGGCATAGAAGGGCACAAAATGTCAATAACCTGCGCAAGGACACTAAAGCAGGGCATAGAATCAATCTCAAACAGCTCAAGGTCCAGGATAGTTATATTTCATGGCTTTTGAAACCACATAGTATTCTGAGGTCTGTTATGTCACTGTGAAGGGGTCTTATTCAAGATGTCTTACCTACTCCCCTAGCTCAATTATTTGAATTATTTATATGACAAGAATTCTACATTTATTCCAATTTTATATTAATAAGAGATGTTTATTGTTAGATTGTGTTCAGGCAAATTCAAGGAACATGGACCTCGGTTGAACTTGGGCTCCTTTCTCTGAAGCCAGACTGCACCTTGTGCTGTTTAATAAGAGATCATCTGACTTTCCTGACTCTAATTCCCATCTTGATGTGAACAACACAGAACATTTGACTCATCAGGACATCTAATACAAGACCAGGAGCATCTAAGGGTGTCTTTTTTCATATCAGAAGAAACAATGCCAGTCTGAAAAATGGTCCCATGTCAGGCAAACACATTATGAAGTGAGTACTTTCTTAAATATATTTCAATGCATGTAGCAGATTATTGAAATATAACAAAACCTATAAATAACTGTTGTATTTAAAATAGAAATAAGGATATGTAGAGCTTTTTGTCATATCAACATATGGACAATAAATGGAGTTGAGAGTAAATGGTCCATTTTAAACAAGTTTTCAGGACGTCTGATCTATTTTGCTTAAAAATTGAATAGTTTGAGTCCAATGTTGACCTTTGAACAGCAGTAAAAAATATGCTAGACCTTTTGATCATCTCACATTTAGAATGATATTTGCAAATCACAGTACAATCCAATGACTGAGCTCTTTCAATCTATTGAAGAAGAACAGAGGAACAACAGGGTAAAACTGGACTCCATTATAATGCAGTTAAACTGAATTCACTCACCATTGTGACTTCTTCTGTTGCAGGGTCATCTCACCTGTGACTTACAAATCTAGTGACAGTTGAATATAAGCTACAAAATATAATGACACACTCAAGGTTAATAAGTTAGTTGGTACTATTCTCTCTGTTTTAGTACCGGGCCTGCAGTATCCTCTCTGAAGTTTCTCTCTCTCAGTGTGGGTGGCTAACACCTTGTCCCTGTATGCTCCTCAGACCAGAACCACCTGCTAATGGATCTGACAGCACAAAATCAGGGCTTTTTATTATCCGTGCCCGGCCAATCAGAGGCTGAAGTCCTCACCTCAGTCTTTCTCTTCCCCCCTGACCCCCTTAAATCCCCCGGAGGCCCTTCTACCTGTCGCTGCCCATCAGCAGCTCATCACTCCATTAGCTTGATTAGGGAAAAGAGTGCCCTTTTGTTCATAGTCATTGAAACGGAAGAGCGGGGAACAACATATTCAAACACAGCGCCTACCTGTGTCTACTCTCAATCATCCGCACTCAATTAGCTGGCTCCAGACAGAGACCCAGCTCCTGTTCTCACATGCACACTGCGATGACTTCACCCTTGAGCTCCAACACTTTGTATCCCACTTTTCATTATGTCTTTTTTTATTGCCAGTGACATTTCCTCACACACAGAGCTGGCTATTACTCATTCAGTGTCCTGCAGGCATGGTAAAGCTTCACTTAAGACAGAAAGGATGTATCAAGTCCTCGCAGGAGACAATGACAAGAGGAGGAGAGAGGAAGGGGAAGAATTGATTTGGGTGAGTAAGCAGCTCATCAAGAAATTACCATCGTGCAGAGGAGAGGGCCTGCGGGCAGCGTGTGGAGCCAGCGGAGCAGAACTGCTATCAAGTAGTTCAGGAAATTAATCTTTAAAAGTAAAGTTTAAAGTTGAGGCTAAGCAATTAAAGTTAGATTAGAGAGGAATATTGAATAAGACGAGTCGGGGACAGGTTCACAGTCCTCTCAGACACCCTGCCCTCCTCACTATCAGGAAGAATTACCCATGTGGAGGATATTATTAAACAATGTGCAGGGAGTGAATTAACAGAATGCGTGTAATTGGATAACAGTGGTGATTACAACGAGGTTAATTGTTATCCAGTACAAAGAGGGTAAGCTTGGATTTCCACACTCTATCTCTTTGGCTATTATTATTTTTGTATATTAACTTTTATGGGGAAATCCTTCTCGTAATTAAACCCATATGGCTTTTTTTTATTATTATTCTGAGCCCAGTGACTTGCATAAAGGCAATTTCTGGATTCCTCATCTTTTTGACCTAGTAAAACTGCACAGTGGCCTGGAAGATGTCAGTTATACTAAACAGCTCATAACGAAACAGAAAAATAAATATCATGAAAGCTCTGTCAGCTTTACTCATAAATAAAGACTTCAACACTGACATTGTTTTGCTTTTACCTGCAGACATCATCTGCCCAGCAGTAACATTATGTCCTGCCTTTGCTAAAAGGAGGGGAGGCCACCTTATTAAATAACTATAGGCCAATCTCTAAGTTGTCAGTTCTGGCTAAGGTTCTTGAACGCTTAGTGAGTGAACAGGTAAATGTGTTTTTATGTACAAATGATATCCTGTCTAAACATCAGTCAGGCTTCAGAAAACAACACAGCACCATCACTGCCACAATGAAAGTGGTGAATGATGTGGCGAGTATTTTAGATAATAAGCAGAGTTGTGCAGCTCTATTTATTGACCTTTCAAAAGCGTTTGTCACCGTCGATCATCACATTTTAAAGCAGAGGCTAGCCAGTATAGGCATGTCCAGCCATGCAGTAGGGTGGTTTGTAAACTACCTCTCTGAAAGGTCCCAATGTGTTCATTTTTGATGGGCTGTCTTCTGAGTGGTTGAACATTGCAAATGGTGTTCCTCAAGGTTCTGTTTTAGGTCCACTTTTATTCTCCATCGACATCAACAGTTTAGGTGAAAATGTGGATGAAGCTACTTTACATTTTTATGCGGATGATACCGTGATGTAGGTCCCTCCATTAAGGAGGCTGGTGTTAAATTACAGGCTGTTTTTAACATTCTTCAGACTCAGCTCTCTGAACTAAAGCTTCTTTTAAATGTTGAGAAAACCAAGGTAATGCTCTTTTCTAAAGCTAAAAAGACACCAGAGCCTGTTTTAGATATTGTAACTATGCAAGGAATAAAACTTGAAGTGGTTACCTGTTACAAATACCTTGGTATCTGGCTTGATGATTGTCTCACTTTTAAACTTCATGTCAATAACCTGCTTAAAAAGCTGAGGGTTAGGCTAGGTTTCTTCTACAGGAACAAGTCCTGTTTCTTGCTTGAGGCCAGGAAAAGGCTAGTCACTGTGACCTTTTTACCTGTGCTGGACTATGGTGATCTGATGTATATGAATGCACCTGCCAATTGCCTGGTCAAGTTAGATGCTGCGTATCACAGTGCACTGAGATTTGTGACAAACTGTAAAGCATTAACCCATCACTGTACCCTGTATGCAAGGGCTGGTTTGCTTTCACTAACTATACGGAGGCTCAGTCACTGGTACATTTTAATATACAAAGCCATGTTAGGGAAACTTCCATCTTATATCTGCTCCCTGATCTCACGGAAAATTGTAAGTGGCTACTGCCTGAGATCGAATGCTGTGGTTTTATTAAATGTGCCAACTGCTAGGACTGTCTTAGGGAAGACAGCTTTTAGATGCGCAGCTCCTCTGTCTTGGAATAGTCTGCAAATTAAATGGAAACTGAACAATCTGGTGCCACTAAATGTTTTTAAAGCTCGGTTGGATGCTAGTCAATCGGAAGCTATTGGTACCTGTTTATGTGGATAATTATGTAAATGATGCTGTATGATGTCCTTTTGTTGTTCTATTATGTTTTTATGTTTCATGTGGAACTACTTGAGCAGGTCTCCCTTGAAAAAGAGATCAATGATCTCAATGGGATTCATCTGTATAAATAAAGGTTTGAAATTAAATGAAATGAACATGATGTTGTGCTGACCTCTGCTGTTTAGTAATGATTCTCACCAAAGACCTAAGCGAAAACACAGGAAAAAAACATAGACTGTGTATATAAAATACCCAATAATGATCAATTATTCATGGCTCAATGAACACAAGTATAGACATATTATAGGCAAATACATTGCTGTCTAACATGAGGTGATATCAATATAGGTTAAACAACCAGGGACCCGGTTGCTTCCTCTGTTGATGATTTCAAATCTCTAATGCAGGGGTGGGGAACCTTTTTCCTCTCAAGGGCCATTTCAATTTTTTCAACATCCTCCGAGGGCCGTACAAATTATTGACGTCTGCTTAAAAATACTAAAATCACAGCCCATTCATTTGGCCTTTCTTTCATGCTGTGCAAAGAAAAAGCAACCTCTTAATCCAGATATTTTACCATGACTCGCGCGTGCACGATTGTGGCATGACCACCAAAACAGAAAGATATAGACACAAGATGTGTGCAATTTAGTATCCTATCCATGTGAATATGATTTAAGTGGGGGGGAAGTGAAAAGCATCAATCTGGTGCACTTTGAGAGCAACATTAAGAGATCTATGGATACATCTCTCAACACCCAGAAACAGAACTGTAAGCAGATTTCCTTTTTCTTTATGGATATTTTACAAATCACTCCCCTTTCAAACTGTATTCTTGTTTATTAATAACAACTTTTTTTTACTGTCATATAGTATTTTATACCTGTTTACTGTATTCTCTTATTTTTTGTATAACTATAATGATCATATAAAGATGTGCCTTTACCTCACTGGTTGGAGAAAAAGCTTCTTATATTCGTTAGCATAGCTAGCTAACCAGATGCTAATAACAACAGTTATTGACTATATGATCAGTATGACAGATGAACAGATCGCCACTGGGCTTACAACTAAAGACACAGCCACGCAAAACTGCGGCATGTGTACGGCTCCTTATGGGTACTGACATTTGTGATGTCCCGGCCCGGAGCAGCGTTCTGGTGCTCTGCTCTCCGGCAGCTCTAAACCCCTGTCGGACGAGACATATACCACGTGATGACACGTTAGGCTCGTGTTGTGTTCAAGGACCCTGACCTTGGCCAGGAAAAACAGGCACTCGCTTGTTTAATTCTTTTGCGGTCTAGATTTCTTATTTTTTTTTCTTTTTTGCGTGAGTTATCTCGAGGGCCGTATCAAATTGTCTCGCGGGCCGTATTCGGCCCGGGGGCCGAAGGTTCCCCACCCCTGCTCTAATGTTATCCACACCACTTGTATTGTGTTGTCCTTATATTTTCGGCCTTTCTGTCCATAACTGACTTGATTGATACATCTTGGATAATAAAAAAATCATCTGTCAGGACACTGGAGCTCTTAATAAAGTTTAAAATGTTTGTTTTATTGAAAATACCTGTTATGTACAATCTGCAAAATGTGTAAGATCGTGCAAATCAAGAGCTTAAACGTATTTACGTTTAATTTTTTTTTAAATACACTAGCCTATTCGTTGTTATTTACAATTAATTATTTATGTTTCTCTTAAATGTAAAGACGTACATTTTGGAAAAATATAAAATGCATACACTTGTATGTCCATTTTTACAAAACTTTTTAGATGCATCTTTTATTTGTATCTTTATATTTTTGTTGTACATCTTTTGCTTGTGGATTTTATAAAGGATGTATACAGCCAGCAACAAGTTTACAGACTGGTTTATCCCACACCCTTACAAAAAGGCTGCTTTTAATTTATTTAATGTGATTTGCATTTATTCGTGTCTAATAAACGAGTATGTAGTTGAATTTATTTTCCTAATTGTAATAGTTTTACTTTTTCTAATAGGCTATTTTAACTCCCACTCCCATTTAATTTCACATTTCACTTACCTGGCTGTCTTGTTTTTAGTGCGAAGTGCGAAGTTTACGGTGATGACTCCCGCAGACATTTGCCAGGCTTAACGTTTCGAAAATGCATGTACATTTGTGCAAAGTGTGACAATTATAGGTTTCAGTTGATTCAGTAGTTCCTCGGAAACCCCTTTAAAGTATTCTAACGTTTGAGCACTGAAGTTAGCAACGTTTTGTTTGATAACTAGTAACCAGTTAGCAAGTGATATCGAGAAAATGTAGCTAATGTTAGCAGTCACTGGCCTACCCTCTTTTCGGCGACGGGAGTACATATCACATTACCGAAGTAATGTAAAGTATAATCTCTGTACACGATGTCTACAAAGATAACATTAAATATTTTGTAACTTTCTGCTAAAAAGTAG